ATAAGTTTTTCTAAAACAAAATTATAGTAGTTCAGTCAACCATTGATTCCATAGCCTCTACTGTTGATATATATTGCGTTCTTTGTTTGTTCTATAAAAATAGAGGAGTCAATATACGAAAATTCTATATTCTGCTTATTATTCAACACTCTTATTTAATCAGATCTCTGATTTCTTCATACACCACGAACGACCATCAGGGCCCAAATCTCAGGTGTGAGGAGGTGGTGTGAAATTGATTCTCAGAATAGATGGAATATCATCATATAAAATACTATAGACGGGATAAAAAACAATACATACATCAGGAACCTTGGAAAATCCTTCATAAGCATCTCGTAGAATGCTACTAGATTTGGCGGAACGACGTAAAGCTTTCTCGCAAGCCAGCTTATATATTTGAAACATGTTGCTCATAGAACCATATCGCCCGCTATTTGCGTTAATTGTATAACCGAACCATGAAGCGAAGCGTACTTTTCTGACTTTGTCACAATTATTCTCCAAATACTCAACACCGAAATCCTTCCAACCGAGGTATTTATAATCCTGCTCCATTTCTGTATGAAGTTTAGCAAATATGAAAACAATTATAAACGAAGACAAAACTATACTCTCCTTCTAAAAGAATCTGCATTTTTTTCTTTCTGAAAGCGTTCTTTACAAAGAAAATTCAAATCTGGTTTTTTGTGTTAGTCAGAAGGTCACACGATTACATCATGCATGCAGAAGTTCCATGACCTTCGATTTTCTTCTTTGGTATTCATGTGATGTGTATTACGACATTTGTCTTTTACGATTTAAACGCGACAGTCATTGATAAATTCATTGAGTTACAACAACCCTCATCCTTGGCATTGCGTAAACATCTAAGGAGATAGCTCAAGCAGCATCGGTGGTGATTACAAGGTTACCGAATTCACCGCACGTAGAAAAAGTATACTTGGGTGAGGAAGGATTAGTGCATGCGGTAGATAAGGATAATCTTCTGATTGCTTCGAGTACGATTGATCAAAGTGTAGCAAAATTTGTCGCGGAAGCTATTATCGCTAAGGTGTACGTGCTACTAATGCGCCCGTTTCTGGAGGTAAATATATTCATGTATTATTAATGGTGTATTTCTCTCGTTATTCTCTAATCTGTTCTTTTGATAAAATTGTAAGAACCGTGGGTGCCGAAGCCGCAACTCTTACTTCTATGGTAGGGCATCTACAACCGAAGATTTTGATCGCTCCCAACCAATACTTTCTAAAATGGTAAAAAACATTATCCACTGTGGAAAATCAGGTAGTGGTCAAATAACAAAAATGTGTAACAACATGCTTCTCGCTATCTCCATGATCAGCGTTTCGGAAACGGTATAAACCCAAAATTACTAGCCATCATTCTTATCCTTCAACGTGCAGATGTTGGTCCTGCGATACTTATAACCCAGTACGGTATTCTGCCGAGCAATGACTACAAAGGTGGCTTTGTAACCACATTGATGGCCAAAGATTTACGACTTGCTGTCAATGCAGCTAATCGACTATCTTATTGGGCACTGTAGCGCAACAATTGTACAACCAGCCCAGCTTCTGGTTTCGAGGGTGAAAATTTTAGTTCAATTTATCGATGGTAACGACAATTAGGAAACTTTTATACATATCATGGTTTTTGGACTCGATAAAATAAAAATGATAGATTATACATTAGAGATCTATATTTAAATTAATTAATAAAATCCATTTTTATTTTCTATTTGTTTATACAGTTGTGCCATCCATTCACGCGTTATATTCAAAGAATTACTTTAATTCTAGTGACAAATTGGAGCGTCAATAATAAATGATGAGAAATTGGTATTATGGAAGGGTTGTAATAAACCGTTTTGTAGTAACCCATGGATTCGTGTTACAACATTACGTTTGAGTATTGTTGCGTCAACCTTAAAATTATTTGAATTAAAGTGGTTTCTCGCAATGTAAATTCGAGCGAGACTCAATGATTTACGAGAAAGTGGGTTCTTTAACGTTCTAAGGTCTCCTGCAGCAATTTGTACTCAAATTGACCTTTTAAGGATAAGAGCGTTTCAGAAACAAAATAATCTTTTTTTAAAGGAAATCAACAAAATAATAAAAGCTTATTTATTCAGGAATAACGATAATCAAAACAATCTAAACACAACAGGACTTATTGGCACGGTCTGGTCAAAGAAAATCTCAAAATCAAAATAAAATAAAAACAAAATATCAATTCAACAAAATCAACGAGCATCCACTACTTGCTACTTTGCTCGCAGGATTTGATGATGATCAAACTAATAAAATAATAGTGTATTCACGAGTAATATACTACTACAAGTAAGGACTTTGTTATTTTATTCGATCAAAGCATGTCTTCTCAGAGACTCAAAACACTTCTATATATACAGTTTCGGATTACTACGCTAGTATTCTACATTGATTGTTTCTTCTAAAACAATCAAGTAATAATCGTTCGATGTCTTCCAATTGTCTAGAGAATCGTCGTCCTTTAGATAATCAATATCGATCGTGCAATAACATCGGGAATGTTTACGACACGACACAAGCAAGAAACGGTAATGTTCATTCATAATGAAATCTTTCTAAATTTGGCTTATAATACAATTACACAAGAAACCAATTATGGAAGAATTATCATGTAGCGGTAGGAATGAAATCGCCAGCGTGTAGGGGGAATCGTCCGACCACGTGATTTCCGGACCAAATGATCTGCATTATTTGGTCCGAC